GGAGGTGCCCGCCTGTCCCGCTGTGTCTGTCGCGGTTTTGGCTTTGTTTTTTCTTTGCATGTTTCTCCTCCACCACCAGCGTTGGCCTCCCTTCCCCCTTTCGCTCTCAGGGAGCTTGATAAGGTGAGGGCCTAGCTGAGATTCCGTTCGAATGGTAGCATCCCCAGGCTTCCCGCCACCATATCACCCTCATCCTCATCCTCACCCTCACCCTCATCCTCATCCTCATCCTCATCCTCATCCTCATCCTCATCCTCATCCTCATCCTCATGATACAACAACAACAACAATACCAACAACAACAATACCAACAACAATAATTTTACTTCAGCGTCGAGCTTGCATTCTTCGATGACATTTCTGATCTTATCTCTGTACTGACCCGTTTACCCATAGTTGTGCTTCCACTCAGCGTCCATGCTCTTGATGTGCATGCGCAAGCTGCAGTGCTCAGACCATACAGTCAGACCAGCGCACTTACTTACACAATGAGTGTACCAGTAGATCTCCATGACCGCCATGTTGTCATGTACAGACAAACAAACAAACCAACAGTACGGACAAACGAACAAACAAACAGTACGGACGAACGAACAAACAAACAGCACGGACAAACGAACAAACAAACAGTACGGACAAACGAACAAACAAACAGTACGGACAAACGAACAAACAAACAGCACGGACAAACAAACAAACAAACGAACAGTACGGACAAACAAACAAACGAACAGTACGGACAAACAAACAAACGAACAGTACGGACAAACAAACAAACGAACAGCACGGACAAACAAACAAACGAACAGTACGGACAAACAAACGAACGAACAGCACGGACAAACAAACAAACGAACAGTACGGACAAACAAACAAACCTTCCCTTCAAATTTCAAAGTGTTAGCAAATTTTTTGGATGTGTGAAATCAGATTGGTTACATGTTATAATCAGACGCAATGGGTCGGGCACGCATGTCGCGCCAACGATGATTGTTTCCTGGGGTTGCAACACGCATAAGCCCACAATCAGCTGCGTTGAGAGGCATCGAGACTAGAAGAAATGGAGATAATATGTCCTCCAATGAAAACATTGACTTTCAAGATGTGCCACCTTCCAGTTTACATAAACCCCTGTTCTTGAAGATTCAAAGTTCCTTCCTATCTCAACTTCAGAGTTCGATTGAAGTTCGATGGACAAATAGCACCCTGGGCTTACGGGTTCTTTTAACTCCTGGTTGTTGAATCCGCTATCATGAAGATCACGATGATCTATGCCAGGTTGTTCACAGGTGCGTTTCCGCTTGGCAACAAATAGCAACGCTTAGCAGATGTGATTGTTTACACATCCTCATTGTCATCCCTATTGTGATCAGTAGAGTTTCAATTGTCTTTGGTGAAAATTCAAACCTTGTTGCCAACATGATTCATTTAGGATCCTGACACCTCTGTTTCGATTTGCATGCAACATCATTCTATTTGTTTGCATCTCCTTCTTTTGAAAAGTGTATCTCAGAGTGTTATACGGTCTACTGTGACATCCTCCCGAAGTTCCTCCTGTCCATTGCGTGCTTTGTGTTCTGTGAGCCGCTACTACCAGGACAGTGCTGCTTCAGAGCTGTTGTATACAAGGGACCACAGTAATCACCATCATGGTGAAGCATCTTTTATTTGTTGGCAAATAAACAATCTTCAGAAACTGTTATTACGCAGATTCAAGTTTGCATGACTGATACAGCCTTTGCCTACTCTATATATCGCTTGATCCCTGGTATCACAGCCTAGATGTCAAACATGCAATACTATCTCGGAGTGTGCAAGACACTTTCCTGAAATTGCATGGTTGGAGCAATTGCGAGAAAGGATTTGCAGAGAGAATAAGCATTTGCACGGGTTGTCATGAAAGATGCTTCATCAACATCATCGGCAATGCCGCAGTAACACGATGATACGATTCACTGCCGTGATTATCAGCGTAGAAAGGAATCTCATATCGACACGTCTGAAGCAAGCATCTGATACAAACGATTATCTTCTTAAAACTCTGAATATCGCCAACCATATCATGTACCTGCCATTGTCCAATCAGCACATCTACAGTGTTCCCGATGCAACTCACTGGCCATGTAGGTTTGTGCCACGAAGGATACCGTAGACCATGAGACAGAGAGAAACACAAGGTAGACACTGTTTCGTATGATGTTTTTGCTTACCATCACAGTTTCAAAATACATGCTGAGATCGGCTGTTGCTATGCCATCTTCTGTCCATTCTGAAATTACACTTGAACATTTTGAATGAATCGTCATTGTGCAAGAATTTGAATTTTTTGCTCAGCTTTGACATCATCTTCGGCCTAAGCTAAGTGATCTAAGTGGTCTTAGTGCAATTTGAGGCAGCGTGGTAATGATAGAGATGTTGCATTGGCTTTATGTTGAGGAAGAGATGTTGAGTTCAAATCTCTTGCTACTTCTTGAATTTCACAGAAGAGACCAAGTCATCACAAATAGACAAGTAACCGTATCTTCGTTTCCTGCATATCAATGCATGGTTAGATTCGAAGTCTCACATTGTTCATTATCGTCCTTACGCGCGTCAATGGGACAATCTCACCATCTCTTGTTCGCCGAGGGAGGGGGGGGCTGGAGTGGAGACAAATGGGGGGACCCCCTACCCATCATTTTCCCATTTGAAATTCAGAGACTGGGGGGTGGAGGGTGAACCTTGGTCAAATTCGAACCGTAAAACTCGCAACGCTCGAGAGTGTGACCCACCCTACGCGAAAAGGAGGTTTGGAGTGGAAATAATGGGGTCAAAGGCGTGGCGATTCAAACCCACATCGCGGCCACCCCCCTCGAGTATAAGACTCTAGCTCAGGTGGGTGCTGTTTGACCACGCGTTCGAATCCTAACGGCAATCGAAGAGATTGCTTTTCAGCGTCAATTCCACTACCAGAATGCCCAAGACTTTTATGATTCTCGCCCACTCCTGAAATCAGACTACCTACCCTGACTTCATCTCTTCTGAGACATACGGGTGGTGTAGAGCTGAGTCGAGGGAGCTCTGCCGGCCCACGGGAAATGCTGACATTGACAGTACAAACTTAGTACGGAGGGGAAAAGGGGATCCTGATACAAAAATCCTTGAACCCGGTAAAACTCAATTATACCTCGGTACAAACAGGCTAGCCTGGTACAAACAAATCCAGTCGAGAACCCAATGGAATGAATCAGACACTCAGACCATTTCAATCCTGAAAAACGAGATTGAAAATCTGAAAAAACATAACTGTGATCTCCTTCTCCAAAACAGAGACCTATCCCTCCAATCTGCACAAATCAAGTTGTTGCAGAGGCAAAAAGATGAGTTACACAAGGTCGCTGAAGAAGCGAAAGCAAATACTCAAAAGCTTCAAACCCAACTGGATGAAAAGGTTCAGCGTACACTTCAAGCAATCGACCTCCTTGCACACGGTAAACTTCCTTCCTCTCAAAACGAACACACGAAGGCAAAAAGGGATGATGGAAAGCAGCAAGACAATACATCTTCGACTCCTCGAACCTCTTCACGATCAAGGAAATCCAACACAAAATATGACTCAGGTAAAATAGCATGTCTGTTTAAAACTAAGTATGAGCAGGCTATGATTTCTCGTCCGACTTCTCGGACAAAGATGACGACGAATGGCGTAGTTCACAAAAGAAAACTTCAAAGAAGAGACGACATTAAACTCGTGATCTTTAAGGCAAGTGTATTAAATAAAACCTTAGCCTCACCTCACCTCAATATGAAGATTCCTCAATCAATCAGTCCTCTGTCTCTTGGATCCACAGACTGCCGTTCTGCCCATTGCAAGACTCTAGCTCACGTGATCTTTAAGGCAAGTGTATTAAATAAAACCTTAGCCTCACCTCACCTCACTATCAAGATTCCTCAATCAATCAGTCCTCTGTCTCTTGGATCCACAGACTGCCGTTCTGCCCATTGCAAGACTCTAGCTCACGTGATCTTTAAGGCAAGTGTATTAAATAAAACCTTAGCCTCACCTCACCTCACTATCAAGATTCCCTCAATCAATCAGTCCTCTGTCTCTTGTATCCACAGACTGCCTTCTGCCCATTGCAAGACTCTAGCTCACCAATCGCAATGCAAAGCATATCCGCGTGATCAGCGTGCTCAGGGCATGTGTTCTTGACATCCAAGGCGATGCTGCGCGCAAATGGGGTAAAAAGCATAACAAGCTCAATGTAGAACTGTTGCTGCTTGCACGTAAAACTGTTCCAAAGCAGCACAGTTTGTCTAATCAGATTCGCCAGCTCTATGCGGTGAGACATCCTGGTCTTCTTCGTTTTGTAGAGGCTTTCTTGGATTTCACGGAGGACTGCCCTCGCGGTCCTGATATAAAACACAAAGTTTTCTACCTGCTCGGGAAATTTTGTGACACATTCCATCTTCTTGTTGACCTCAAACTTTTCTTTTGGCAAATAACTAAGATTGACAAGGGCGACTGCGTCGTCAATATACCCGGCTCTGGAAGTGATGTGTGAGACTGCCCTCTGCAGGTCGGGTTGAAGAACGTAGAGGAGATACCAGTGGTGAAGCTTCTGGTCATCCTTAAAGCAATTCCACACGGTCCTGATGGTGTAGCAGCTCTTGCTCAGCGCAGTGCAATCAGGCCCGACGATGCCGTCGTATTTCTCCTCGTCAAACTCATTGAGCTCTTTAAGGAAAGTGCTAATGGCGTTGTTGAAGTGGCCGTTGGTGTTCATGGTTGTTGTTACTGTGTCTATTTCGGTCTATTAGTCTCCAGCTGGGTTGAGGCTTCAGGGTTGACTGAAATAGGGTAGTACCCGGTGGGTACTAATGAAAATATGGTACAGACAGGGGGTACTGGGGGTACTGACTTTACAGGTGGAGTGGGAGTACCCGGTGGTTACTAATGAAAATATGGGACAGACAGGGGGTACTGGGGGTACTGACATTACAGGTGGAGTGGGAGTACCCGGTGGTTACTAATGAAAATATGGGACAGACAGGGGGTACTGGGGGTACATAAACCTGACATTACAGGTGGAGTGAGAGTACCTGGTGGTTACTAATGAAAATATGGGACAGACAGGGGGTACTGGGGGTACATAAACCTGACATTACAGGTGGAGTGAGAGTACCTGGTGGTTACTAATGAAAATATGGGACAGACAGGGGGTACTGGGGGTACATAAACCTGACATTACAGGTGGAGTGAGAGTACCCGGTGGTTACTAATGAAAATATGGGACAGACAGGGGGTACTGGGGGTACATAAACCTGACATTACAGGTGGAGTGGGAGTACCCGGTGGTTACTAATGAAAATATGGGACAGACAGGGGGTACTGGGGGTACATAAACCTGACATTACAGGTGGAGTGAGAGTACCCGGTGGTTACTAATGAAAATATGGGACAGACAGGGGGTACTGGGGGTACATAAACCTGACATTACAGGTGGAGTGGGAGTACCCGGTGGTTACTAATGAAAATATGGGACAGACAGGGGGTACTGGGGGTACATAAACCTGACATTACAGGTAGAGTGAGAGTACCCGGTGGTTACTATAGTAATCTCTGCTACCCGTGTTCGCATAACCACCCCCTCTTTGGAAGTCTAAGTACCCCTCATATTAGCTAATGAGTCGATGACGTGTTTTATAATATGAGTTATAAATAGGTACCCCTATTACAGTACCCCCCATATCAACTCTAGTACCCCCCATATCAACATACTACAGTACCCCTATCGACCACCCCCAACTCTACCCACGAACATCACAAAATGGCAGTGAGCGCAAAATTCAAACAGTCTCTCTATGCTTTGACCTATGTTGTTGATCGTCAACAGATCGATGAAGATATCAACTTTTCTACAAAAAACCAATGGACCCGTATTTCCTTCGAAGAGAATTGCCAGAGCATCCTTGACCAGTGGAACAAACTTCCTCAAGATAAACGCGCTCAGCACTGGTCTCTCCTTCGTGTTCAGAAATACGACTTTCAAAGGGTCAAGCTATGGCTCAAACAAAGCAAAATCCCATCTCCAGCATGCATCAAGATACTCAACATCATTGGTCATTCCGACAGCAAGCCCATGCACTTCCAACTCGACAGGTTTGCCACTAAAGTATTTGCCAATATCCAGTCCGCCATCCCTTCCAAGCCAAACAACGTCAAAACACTCCTCTGCTCTTTGGCAATCATCAAAAACGCCACAGCACGCTATCGCGGCTGCTTATACAACAAAAAACGCCTCTCCCGAACTCAATGGAAGCAGTTTGTTGACGCAATCGACATCACCTATCAATGGGCGACACAACTTCGACAAGTTAATCACTCAATGACCAACAAGTTTCTCAAGATCCTTCTTCTTTCCCCTCGTCATCACATGCGAAAGATCCGAAACAACTACAAATATATGTGTCCGTGGCATACCACTGTTTCTGATGAGTTGCTTGAAAAGTGTAATTTTCTATATTCACAGTTCGAATAAAACTCATGCAACCATACTCTCAATAAACTTGATTTCAACTTGAACTTTTTAATCTCAAACATCTGTAACAAAGCCGAAGCCTCCCGATCGAAGGATTCGCTACCTTAATATTGACATAATGTTTAAGACTATTCAAAACATTTAAATATACGTCAATTGATCGGTCTTGTCTAATCTCATTCATAAGGAAATGCGTTATGCTCATTACATGCGACTTGAATTCATCTTTCAAATTTGGATCTACCATCATATCATTGAATTGTTGAATTGTTTCCTCTTGCTTTCTTCTTTCCCTTCTCGTAGCTTCCTCCCATTGCTCATGCTTTCTGGCTTCATTTTCATCCCTCTGCAATTTATCAAGCCTTTCTTGCAGGTCAGCAAATATTCTGAGTTGATCTCTTAGCTTGTTCGCAAGAAACTTCAACTCGTCTGTTGTTCCGATCTCTTTTATTCGATTAGCATTCTCATAAATTCCTTGGAAATCAATGCCATTTTTTGAAAATTCGCCAAAAGACATATGTAGATTTGAAAATAAATTAATCAATTTTCTCAGCAAATTTACCATAGTCCGAATCACAGATTGCAGGTCATGGCCGCGCGAGGTTTTCTTTTTCTCATACACTGATGCAAGAAATAGAAATGTTTCTTCCACGAGTTGTTGCATCTCAATGGAAGGATTATTTTCACGCCTAAACTCTCTGTAGATGTCGTTGAGGTTTGATTCAAGTGGAGGCAACTCGAGATTCATTTCTATAGTTCAATCAACCTTCTCTTTAAATATATACAGTTAATTTGTTTAATGCGTATATTTCTTGCCCCCGGGGGGGGGGTGTTTTTGGTACCATGCTAGGGTGGGGGAGGATGCTGGCCTACATTTTGACCAGAAAAATACCGGTAATGGTTCAACTTCCGGTACCTTGGCAAAGTAGTTCAAGGGGGAGTATGAGGGTCCACATATCAAAAAAGTTACTAGATGACGATTTTAGGGGTGGGGGTACATACCCCTACCCATATTTTCCATTCAATGTCAGATAAAATGTGGGGTAGTATCTAATATACAGGGGTGGTGGTCAGACAAGTCGGTCAAACTCCAGGCTTAAGACTTTGTGAGGTGAGGGGGTTCAGGGTAGGGGTCATTTGTGGTAAAAATAGGGGTACTTTAAAGGAGGCCGAAGGGAGGCAACAATAAGTCAAGTTGTTCGGAAGGGGTAGGGTAGTGCAAGGGACAAGAGGGGGTAGGTGGAAGTGGGGTCATGACACAAGTTTCCCGCTGTCCGGTAACCGAAAATATTGAGCAGATATTCCGAATTATACTTGCCAAACTTGAATGTCTCTGATAAATATTGAATTGACCTTTCAAAAACTTGAAGGTTACACTGGAGAAGGATGAACCTGACGAGACCTCAAGCAAAGACTTTTGTTTTGTCTTTTTACAGTGTTTTTTCCTCTCGAAGTTGATCAGAAATGCAGTTGTCACTACTGAAACGCAGGAGCAGTCTTGGATGCTGCTGCTGCTGCTGCTGCTGATGATGATGATGATGATGATGATGATGACGACGACGACGACGACGACGACGAGGATGAGGGTGAAAGAAGAGAGATGGAGAGAGCATGTGTTGAGATGATGAAGTCGGGGGCTTCTGCAATGAGAGATTTGGTTCACTCAGTTGAACGATCGTTCGGCCCAAATGTGAAGCATCACTTTAAGTCCATTCAGCGTTGAATTCGATGTGAAAGATACGAATTCCATCTGATATAGCTGGTCAAGCATTCAGATTTACACTGCAAGGTGGTTGACCACACGGTATGTGATAGAGAGAATTTTATTGCTTCCCTGTCAGACGATTTTATTGCTTCCCAAGTTCCCTGTCAGACCATGCCTCCTCCTCCTCTGCTGTCCTTTTCAACCTCTACCTGATCATTCTCGTTTCTCCTCTCCTCCTATTTGTCTCCTCCTCCTCCCCCTCCCCACCTTTCCCTTCCTTAACCTACCAACGTCGGGCTACAAAAAAGTTTGTGGTTGTACTCTAAGACGGTCAGCCACCATCCGCGGTTACGGCGAACCCATGGGCCGGATGGCGGTAGCGTTGCTGGCGATGGGGCTCGTGTTACTACCGGCAGGGGGCGGGGCGGCGGCGGACGGAGGCGGCAAGATGGGAGGAGGAGAGGAGGGAGGAGGAGGAGTTGCTCGAGGAGGAGAGTTCGTGCAGACCGTGGACGACCTGGTCTTCAATCACTTCCTCCTGCACTCGCTGCAGAGCCGCGGTTGGTGGTGGGGGGATCATCAGCAGCGGCGGAAGGGAAAGGAGAGGAGGCGCAAGGGGAGAGAAGCAAGCTGTAAGAACAGCTCGAAGGTGAGGGGATGAGAGCATGCGAAGGTGGCTGATGGCTGACTTTGCTCATGTTGAGTGCACGGGAAACTCCACCCAGGCAGAGATCGAGTTGCTATGGCGGAGTCGGTACAGGCTGGGGAGACGGATCGAGGATGGTTCGATGGAGGGTGTCCAGATACGAGCTGCTGAGGACGCGGACGCTGCGGATGCTGTTCGATTCGTGCACTTCTACGAGAGTGAGGCAGAGCGGGACGAGGTAAGAGGAGGGAGGGAGGGAGGGAGAGAGGGAGGGAGGGCTAAGAACGAGCATGATCTCCTCCCAGGTCCTGAACTTCGTCAACGAGTTCAACGTCTACGTGCCTGAGCATGCCATGGGCATCATCGAAGTGTTTGAAAGTCCGCATAGCATGATCTGTGCTTCCTCCCTGTCCTGACACCAGCTTGCTCCTGGTACCCCCAGCCGCAGTCAACGAGCTCTCGTATGAGCATGGAAGCTACGTATGCGTCCTCGAAGGAGGACAGCCTCTCTCCGAGCTGTTGGATCAGGATCAGGTCAGTCATGCAGACAGCTGCGAACCTGGAAAACATCGAGAATTCTTAAGTGGCGGTCCTTGCGGTACAGGAAGAAGTGTTCACCGTCAAACGGGCAGCGAGTCTCCTCAAGGAGGTAGAGACGAGGTCTGCTGTCCATGCTCCTCTTCCTCCTCTTCCTCTTCTTCCTCCTCTTCCTCCTCTTCCTCCTCTTCCTCCTGCCCCCCCCCCTTCCCTCTTCGACTGACGACGCTCAAGTCTGCTCACCCTCGCACGGCTCAACTATGAGGTTGGAAGCTTCTCATTCCAGACCATTTTCTTCGACAGCCAGCGGGTGTTGTTCAACCCTGTCTTGTGAGTGCAAGGGGTTTGAGAGCTTGCATGGCTCCCTCCTCTGATCAGCCGCTGCTTTCAGGAGCCTGCTTGCTAGACAGGCAGGAGGAGAAACCTTGTACGGAAGCATTGAAAGTCTTCCGCCACTCTGCAAACCTCACAAGTCTCGGAAGATCAGAGGAGCCGATCATGTCTGGGCATACAGAAACATCGTCTACATGATGGTTTGCTCGCTCCATACCTGGCCAGCTCCTCATGCTAGTTCAAGGTACCTCGTCCTGGAAACTTGCTCCAAGATTGCCCAGCAAGTCCAGACGATGTCCATCATCCGTAAGAACGCTCTTTGACTTTATCTTACACCTGATGACGGTCGGACAACAGTGCGACTTTGCAGACTTCAAGGTTGTATTTGTTACAGATCCAAGTTGTAGACCGGTCATAGCTCCAACTTTTTGCATTCTGGTCGGGAACTTCGCACTTTACTTTGGTGTTGTTTGGTGTTGACGGTGTGTTTCTAAGAAGCAAATAGTCCTCATCGTAACAGAATTAATCTCATCTCAATGTACAATGAAAAACATTTTCTAGTTTACTGCTTGTTTCTGTGATATATCTACTAAATCAAATGACCATCATTCCAGCTACATCTTTCTTGCCCGATCGAGCACTCTTCATCAATCGAAGGCAAGAGGTGTATATTACGTATGCTTTAAACAAACAGGAACCTGAGCACTGACCCACTGGCCTAAGCCTTGTCCAGAATTCTCTGATGATTGATGGAACTTGGAAACGGAGTAGAAGATTTCAAAATCAATCTTGCCTTGCTCTCTGACGGATACGATGAACATCTCAGTAGACTGAAATATTCTACATTGATTTTGACGTCAGTTGTCCATGATATCCGTTTGATGTCAGTTTGTCCATGATATCCTTTGTAACCAATGCTCTCACATTGGTTCAAGGGCGTCGGTTATGCGATCCTGATCAGTGCAACTACAACCTGCGACCGCAACTACATGCAAATACTCACATTCGTGCATGGCCTCACAGTTTCAATTGTTAGAAAAACGTTTGAGACTCCAAAACAAATTACTTCTCCCTCACTCATCTCGACATCAGCAGGATACATGAAGCCTCTAGCTTCTCCTCAGCATTTCGCCTACTCTAGTCCACAAAATCGTCTTGTGACCGCCCCTCTCCCACCTTCCATAACTGCATCAGTGACAAGGCTTTGTCAAGATCACTGACTCAAATTGCATTTGCTCGATCGTTGCTGAACACAATCTAAATAGTATGCTTCTGATTTCATGATCCTCTACAACACCGTAGTTTACCTCCTCTCCTCCTCCTCTTGGTCACAGCGTTCTACTCTCACCCCTCTCCTATTCCACCCGTCCGCAAACATTTCCCTTCTAGAACAAGAATAGTCCTGCATGAAACGACCATTGACCTCATGACATCACATGCTTCAGCCCTGCATTCTCCCATGCTCAACCACGACTACCTGGCATCACACCCTGCGAGCGTCGGAACAAACCCTTTTTTTTTCTTTTTTTTTCCGAAGTTCCTTTACACAGAATCTGAGACCGTTCACTGGCAACTTGGCAAGCCGCTGAGCCCGGCCCCCCGGGCCCCGGGCCCGCCGGCCGCCACTGGGCTTATGAGCTCATCGCGGCCATCCGACTCAAAAAACCGGGCCATTAGCCCAGTGCCGCGCGGCGGCGGCCGGGCCGGGCCGGGCGCTCCCAAGCCAAGTTACTACCGGGATCGGCCTCGTAGTACGGTCCGGCCACCGGCGCGGCCCCCGGATGGCGGACCCTTGAGCCTCGAACTTGAACTCAGCCTCGGAGCGCACTTAACAAGGAAATCGGTTAAATTAGTGCAAATTTCCTTAATTTTAAGAGGAAAGTCTTTAATTTCGCTCAGATCCAGGCACAGCAGAACCCTGTCGTACCCCCCACCCCTCTACGCCTCCTTCCCCCTACACCCCATACACAAGTACCCTACCCCCCTGGTGCGGCATGGAATTCAGAGAGCACTGGATGCTTTGAAGCTCCTGTGGGGGTACCTACTTTGCCATTAAAGAACGGGTCTTTTGATACTGAAAAATACCGGTGTTGATGCAAAGATACCCCCAAGTCCTGCTGTTTGTATCAGTACCCCCAAGACAAGACCCCACCCTACATTAGCAAGGCATTTGCCTTTACACCCCACTTGTACCACCCCGAGTACTTTCCACCCTGATTCCTTTTTAAGTACCCCTGCACATACAACACAAACTCTATTGTACCCCTCTTTTACCCTTGAACTACCCTATCCTTTACCATCAGAATCTTAGACTGATGACCTCCCACCCCACATGTAGAATCCACACACCCTGTTCTACCAACCTCCGAATACAAAGACCACCCACCTTTTGCATATTCTACCCACCCATGTTTCATTCAGTACCCTTATACAGTATATCTCATACCCACCCTTAAATCATGTACCCTACCCATGAGAGAATGTTATCTTGTACTACTACCCCTACAAAAATACCTTCACCCCCTGGTTTCCCACGGACCCCCTTGTTGTTCAAATTTGTTTGTTCTGGCACCCGACCCCATGCACTACGCCTTGTTTTGGACCCACCCCCATCTATCCTCCTATATTCACCCCTACCCACTTCAACGAATGTTCCCTGTAGTTCGATTTATGACCCCTCGTTTGAAGATGGAATAATACCACCGGTACCTCTTCTCAACCATCAGTACCCCATAAGTCTCCCGTAGAGTGTTAGTGCCCTTAAGTACCCCCTTTTTCTGACATCACCCCTCATATTCACACCATTTTTCCTACACCGGTCATGACAATTTTTTAAGAGAAAATCTTCTCCCTGGGAACATACCCCAAACAATGTCAAGGCTTTCTACCCTCACCCCCTGTTTTCAAGTGAAAGTACCCGGTACCATGTACCCTCACCTGGTGCGCAAATCAGTAAAAAATCCTTTACCCCCACCCCCTTATCTTCTACTTGAACATATGTACCGGTGGAGCACCTACCCTAGATCAGAACACCCCCTACCCCTCCATGACAGCTCTTGGAATACCCCTACCCCTGCTCTAAAGCCTTCTTGCAACCGCGAAGCCCTTCCCGCCCCCCGCCTTCGCTAAGGCTGGTTGTTCGTCCTCCTCCGCCGCTCCTCCTCCTCCCCCATCGTCATATCCTTGTCTCTTCTTCCTCCTTGATGTGTATTCTTCCATTGCTCAACTGAAATTCGTCTCGTGACTCTCCTTCTCCTCCACGCTCCCTCCCAACTCGCATTCCTCCTGCGCTATGCCTCCTTCACTTGCGACTCCCCATGCCATTCCCTTGAACCATCCCTCTTCCTTAAAGTCTCTTTCGGCATATTCGCTCGTCATTACTGTCATTGCTATATCGATATCCCTGTTCTATCCGATGTCAAATACCTCAATGCTTGCTCGGGCTTGAAGCCCGACAGTGAAAGTTTTGATTTTCGAAGTCTTGCCTTTCCTCGTTGTCTTCTAGTTGTGATCTCTGCATGCAGTGCCTGCTTACCTTAGTTTCTCTTGGCATTCACCATGCGATAACTGTCAACCTGCCTAATGATTGCACGCTGCCTTGGCAGCGCTGATTTATTGTTCTTGTTGTGTCAGAGTCTAAGTCAACGCAAAGTACTACACCTCCTTCTAGTTATGTGTGAAATACTTGTTATGCACCAGATCATTATGGCCGATCAAGTCTGATAGTGATTCGCAGGTTTCTTGGCTCTCTCCCTCTCTCTCGATTTTGGCTTCTTTACATTACTTCCTGACCAAACGGGCACCTCTTGAACGTACATTCGCAACCTTACAACGAGCATTCCCGGATTTGCAACATCTGCAAACTTCAAGAAAAGTGACAACTAGCAACATTCGTCAGAAACAGACTCATAACTAAGAACAACCAACTGAACTAACAAAACATGCCAATCAACGGATACATGAGTGCAGCCGAGGTCCTTATTGGTTGCCCTCCGCCCAAGAACGGACTTGCTCCCTGGGGCTTGAAGACGGCCCAGCCCAACACACCGCCGATTGTTCCACCCAAGACACAAGCCGTCCCAACACCCATCAGGACTCCTTCGATCAACATCAAACCAGCCGATCCTCCCGTTCAAAGCTCGGAGCTTGTGGCTTCTGCTGCTGGTGCCCTCCTCGGCCTTCAGAACGATCAGGTGAGAATGATGTGGAGAGGAGGCAGGAGGAGGGGGGTTATTGCTGGGATTCTGTTGATCTGATGCGATCTGAACAGTCCCGGATGTCTCACAAACAAGTCGAGCAACATCGCAGGCTCAAGGCCAAGCAGTTCTTCGACGAGTTGCGATGTTTGGTTCCCGCTGCGCGGGATCCCAAGAACGACAGAAACAAGTATGCCTTGATTGCGATGATGAGCTGTTGAATGGCTGACTTGCAAACAAGGGTGCTGCAGTTGGCTATCGAGTACCTCAAGGCTCTCAAGAGTGGTCAGGTAACTTGTTCAGTATCAATCAGACATCGGATAACGTCCACATCAGGGTGACTGGCATTCATCTCAATTTAGAGCCAACGAGCATGCTGCAAGAGATGATGGGAATGGCGAGTTGATGTTCGAGATGGACCCGGAAAACGACAAGGTCAAACCCGCCGATGCCGATGACAAGTCCAAGAGCTCCGAGCTTTCGGAAACGGACAAGCGATTGAGGTCAGTTGGTTGTTTTGGTCAAGGCTGATCTTTGTAGCTGACGTTTTTGTTTGGTTCAGCCACAATGAAGTGGAGCAGCGCAGAAGATTTCAGGCGAAGATCCTCTACGATGAACTTGTAATCCTTTCTCTTGGTTGCATCTTCACGTGCTAACATCGTGTGTTTAGCGTTCTCTCATTCCTAACTCGAGCAAGTACGACAAGAACACAGTCTTGTTCTACACCATCCAGACAATCAAGCAGCTCTCGGGAGTCTCCGAAGAATCCTTGGCCAAAATGGTGCAGGATCTCGGCAACTCGGAAACAGAGATCGATGAAGACCAGAAGCCTTCCGGCCTTGCTCACGACATGCATTCCGACAAGGTGTGCAAGTATCTTGTCGTCTCAGGAGCCTCGCTGAACTCTTTGCAGTCCTTGCCAGTGTCCGAGTCTCCGACAGACATTGCTTCGTTTGCAGAAACCCTGTGGGGGTCAGGGCAGCGAAGGGGCCAGAAGAGGAGCAACGCTGTCATCAAGGAGGAATCTGAGTCAGACTGCAACCTGGAAGAGCTGGAGAGGGGTAAGCCTCTGACTTCATCCTCATCCTGTTGAGCTCCAGACTGACCTTCCTCCCCGTGCAGGATCGGACTTGTCAACGGTAGCAAACCTCAACACTGAGAAGAAGAGGATAAGGAAACTGAGTGAAGACTCCACCTCATCTCTCAAGGGCTCGCTGCCGACTAGCCGCGTTGCCTCGTCGTCAGGCAAGACTGAGTCAGACGACGACGGGGACTGCTTGAACGCCCTGAGCCTCCTCTCAGAATGTGCCTTACAGGTAGAACTCTTCTATACCCTCATCTGCCTCCTCCTGACTTTCCTTGCTCAGGTGCAAGGGTCCGAGCCCAACACGCCTGTACAGGGACCGAGGGGGGGCAATTGGGGAGAGGGCTCTCTGCTGAGATCCCTGCCGACGCTGAGGCTCTCGGCATCTGAGAGCAAAGTGCTTGCTCGTTGAGTTTGCGTGGGGCTTTTGCTACGCATCTGCTACCTGAAGCTGAGGCTTCGTTGTACATTACCATCTGGATTATTCTTTTTAGCTACTTGATATCTCTCTCTTCAAGGCAAATCAATCTCTCTCTCATCACGGTTTCGGATTTCTTCCGACGGACGGCAAGTTCGCAATCGCTGGATTAATTCTTTTCTTTTTTCTTTTTTTCTTTTCTTTTGGGCTCTTCTTTGATTCGGGAACTTTCTTCTAACAACACAAAAAACACTAACAGCAACACACTGTGAACTAAAAATGTAGAAAATAGAAAATGTACTAAAAATGAAGGTTAAACTCAAGCAAATTCAGCCTGCGGCGGTGACCGTCCGTGTTACTGTCTTACTAGTTGTAAGTCCTCAGGTCAACTGTGACTCAGCGGCCAGTCTCGGCGGCCGCCGGCCGGGCCCGGTACCGTGCCTCACTGAGCCAGCCGGCCCCACCTCCCCCGCCCCCTGGGCGGCCGGGCCCCGCGGGCCCGGCTGGGTACTCACCGTACTGGTCGCTCCTTGGTCAGTGCGACCCGTTAAAAAGGAGGGCCTTTGACCATTTTGACTAGTGTTTTGACCGTCTAGCGATTTGACCTCGTGAAAATTACGAGAATGGTCAGGTGGGTCGGGTGCTCAGGGCTTGAAATAGGGGGTGGGGGTAGTCTTTAATGGCCAAAAGTGGGTGGGGGTACAAGGTTGATTGAGAATGGAGCGGCACCTGTTCGTTGTAGGGGTTATGCAGGAAGAATGGGGGTACTACAATCAGAGATATGATTGTATACCCCCAATTTTAATGAAATATTCAGGGAAAATCAGGGGTAATGGTATTTGATCATGGGTTCTAATTTTACATGGTCAACAAAATTAGGGGTAGGTGTAAGTACCCCACCCAGTCATTACGACCAGTTTCAAAGATCACCCCTTGTTTGTGCTACACCTAACAACGGGATCAGGTGTCCCAATGGGTGAGAAGGGGTGGGATGGAAATTTCGAGTTAGATTACTGGGGTGGTGAAGAGTACCGGGGGTACATAAAAATACTAGGGGTACTTGAAATGAAATTTCATTTTAGACGTGAAGATGGTGGGTATAAATGGGTCTTTACAGGGGTATATTCAAAATATTGGGGGGTGTGAACGACGGGGTTACTGGAAATGAGTGGTGGGGTATTGTCAACATGGGGTAGGGGTGATGGTAGGTGGGTAGGGTGTGGTGTTCTATGGAATCGGGGGAGTGGAGGCGTGTGGAATGGTGTTGGAGAGAATGGCGAACGGAGGGGAAGAGGAATGGAGGATGGAGAAGGGAAGGGAAGGGAAGGGAAGGGATCATGGTAGAAGATAGATAAGAGATAGGATGAGAAACTGATGGCAGCAATGTCCACTGAGCGGACGAACTGAAATATCAGATCAGATTTAAATCAAGTTGAAAGAGATATGGTCGAGTCTGTCAACGGGGAAGACGGCATCTTTGCTGGTCGGCAAGAGACTGACAGGAAGCAGGGAGGAAGATTGGTTTGATACCGAGCGGGAAGACGAGAGCACAAGCCCTTGAGGAGGGAGGAATCTGAACTCTACATTGCCGGGAATTCATCCAGGTAGCCATGGCACACCTTGATGAAGTCATCGGATGCAAACTTGGGATAGCGGGAGGCAGGATGTACATCCAGGACATCAGATGTGGGGGAGCAGCCGCTCTGAGCAGCAGGCTGGCGGTAGGAGACAGAGTGAAGGAGATAGATGGCGTGAGCGTGGAGGAGTTGCGGAGCAGCGACCCAGCACCATGCTCCGCATGCTTGTCATGGAGTGCAGAAGAGCACGGCTGCTGTTCTGCTCCTTGCTCGTGCACCTGCTCCGCCTGCACCAGCGGGGCATGCCAGTCATGCACGTGTCTCAACGTAAGGAGCAGCGGAGAAGGGGGAGGACAGGAGACATCTGAAGGACACGATGACCAGAATCCTCCGTCCCTACCCAGCAGCTCCATACAGTCTCCTTCCCGTAGTTTCTCCTTCCTCTCCTCGCCCTTCTCGCCCTCGTCCGCCTCCACTCCCTCCAGCATGCTCTCCTCGGCAGCCTCAATGCTGCAGGGAGAGAGGGGCGCGCCGGTCTGGCTCAAGTGCCACACGCTGGACGACGAGGAGCTTGTTGTGTGCCTGATCCGCCATGGCGGCTTGCAACAGACGACGACGGGGGAGGAGGAGTGCGGCATCGGGATCAAGATAGTGAAGGAGGAGTTGGACGGAGGCAGGACGGGGATGCTGGTAACGGAGATGTACCCCGGGCATGCCGCATGGCTTGCTCGCTTGTCAGTGGAGGAGCAGCAGGCGCCGATACTTGTCAATGACGTCATCGTGGAAGTGGAGGGGAGCAGCATCAGCGGGATGCGAGCGAAGGAGGTCAGAGCGCTGATCCAGGGGCCAGCGTACACTCGGGTCAAGCTCACAATCGTGCGAGGAGGAGAGAGGAGGCAGCGATGGATCGTAAGATCACCCAAGGTGAAGGAGGGGATGCTTGAGAAGGTGGAGAGCTATAGGAGGAAGGTTTGCCGCTTCCCTCCCACTCCCATCCTCGACAGGACGAACAGGTACGACCTCTACTGCAAGTGGAAGGCGCCGAGCGTGCATGGCATGTCGGTTAAGGATGCCGCCGCTGCGCTCCTGGAGAGGTCGATGAGGGCGGACGATGCCACGGGGGAGCAGGAGGAGGACGAGAGGACGAGGAGGAGGAGGATCGGCATCACTGACATGCTGTTGGACCTCTCGGGGGAGATCCGGTGGAACGCTGTTGCTCTCGTCTCCTGCATCTGCTCCCGGCCGATCTACCTGTGCAGCAACCTCCGCCTGCTTGCCTGGAAGCCCAAGTTCAGGGCCTTTACTGAGTCCTTCCGAACCATAGACGACAGGAGAGGAGGAGAAGGCGGCGGCGGCAGCGCAGGAGGAGGATGGGGTTGGGGAGGAGGAGGAGGAGGAGAAGGAGGGTGGGGTTGGGGAGGAGGAGGAGGAGGAGGAGGAGGAGGGTGGGGTTGGGGAGGGTGGGGCGTGGGAGCGGAAAGCCGACGGAATGAGGAGGAAGGGTCCGAGGCAGTTGTCTCGTCCCCCAACAAGGGATTCTCGCTGTTCAGCCCCAAGAGCTGGATGGCTCCCTTCAAGCTCGATCCGTTCTCCTCCTCATCCGCCGCTGCCGCCTCCCCCTCCGCTGCTTCCTCCTCCCTCGTCAAGGCCGGAGAGCTCCATGGGATCGACTGGTACACAACCTTCTCCATCGAGCTGGGCAAGTTCATGGAGGTAGAGGAGAGCAGGCTCGAGAAGCTCCACCACATTCTGCGCTGCCCCAACGTGAGCCCAGGGCTGTACGCTTCCTACCTCCTCGAGAAGGCGAAGGAGAGGAGGCTGAGCTTGAGTCCATCTAAGCAAGAGGGAAGTCAGACAGAGGAGGGGAGGAGGACGGAAGGGGGAGATACAGCCAGGGCTCCTTTGTCCTACAGGCGGATGGATTGGACGGAGAGGGAGGATGAAGGAGAAACACTGAGCAGCGGGATCAACTTTTCCGACTGCGTCTCAGTCCAGGAGGAGCAGGAGGGTGCGGGAGGCTCGAGCCAGTCGAGCCTCCCGCAGGAGCCCGGGGAGGAGGAGGAGGACGCGGCGGCTGCTGGCCCTCACATCTCCGGCATGCCATGGACCATCTGTTGGCTGACGCTTGCAGTGTCTGTGGTGGCCAAGAAGTAC